GCATAGTGGAAGAGCATGGTGAAGCAGAGTTATGTAGATTGCTATGGGCAGAATATTTCAAACTACATTTAAAAATACACAAGCATTAGTGGCTACTGATGCATCTTGAATGCTTTTAATTGTTTTTAAACTTTTTATTTCATATATTAATTATATACTTGAAGAGATTTCTTGATGACATTTCTATATTACATAAAATACACTTTCATTATATTAACCTATCACTCATTCTTAACCCTCCTTGTAATACCCAGGTCTTCCCCTTTTAGTTTCATGTCTTTTTATCCCCTAGAGAATAAAGAAAGAAAACATGGTGTTTTCATTCTTCTGTGATATGTGTGGATTACTTTACATAGTATATGATCTCTAGTTCATTTTTTTCTTCAAATGACATAATTACATTCTTTGTTAAAGTTAAGCAAAACTTCATTGTGTATCTATACATTTTATTCATCTGCTGAAACACATCTTCGTGAATTCTATAAATTAACTATTGTGAATAGTACCATATTATATTTTAAATAGAAAAAGTTAAAGCAGCAGAGAATCATATGCTTTTCATAATAGTTAGACTACCAAAGGCCTTTTATTACTATAGAAAGAAAGGGATGGTCAAAATGAAGGATAAGTTAAGGAAAAGGTTTAGGAGAGGCACAAAAAGGAAGAACAACACATAGTAATAATTTTTGTGCCTCATGATTCAAGATTATTTTGAGTCAGTTTCTTAAGAAAAGTAGGTATTGAAAAACTCTCAGTATATGATAGGGAGTGTAGGTCAGTGATACAGTACTTATCTAGCATGTGTGAACCCCTGGAATGAGATCTCAGTTCTGAAAAAAAAATATAATTCTGAACAAAAAAGCATGTGAGAAGGAGAAAACAAATTTAACAGTGGGTCAAGAGCTGGGAACAACAGTTATAATTAGATCTGTACTTATGAAAACTAAAACAACTTATTTACAAATTGAATCAAGTGTTAACATGTGAACAGCTATTGACTTGATAATAAAATAGCCCATTAACAATCAAAGTGTGCTGTGAATTCTTTTTATAAATGTGTATATGCATGTTCAAGTATTCAGGCACACACACACATGGGAGTCAGGGGATGCCCTCAGCTGTCGTTCCCAGGAACACCATCCACTTCCTTTGAAACAGCCTCCCATTGGCCTGGAATTCATGTATAGCTAGACTGGCTGGCCAGGTTCTCCACTGATGGGATTACAAGTACAGAACACCAGACCAGTTTTTTTTTTTAAACATGAGTTCTAGGAGTCAAACTTAGGTCTTCATGCTTGTGAGGTAAGCACTTTGACTAAATGTACTGTCTCCCTGGCCCTGGCATTTGTTTTGCACAAAAGTTACTAGAGTAGAAACTGTCTTCACCCTAAGATGTACACCTACAGTGATATGCCATACATGGTGAAAAGCAGACCACTACTAGAAAAGAAAGAAGAAGAGTAACGGCAAGCTTTCTGGCTTTCTACAAAGTTATAGTAAGTACAAACTAGGTATTTTGGTTCAACCTGCTTATCTCTCACCTTCCTGTTTTCTCAAGGCATTAAAAAACTCATTTTATGTGGTTTGGTCTCAAAGTTTATTTCACTTTATTCAAGACAATGATTAAATCATACATATGGACACAGAGGAGACTGTATATGAAATATAAACAATGATTTGGTTACTTTAGTTCACTAACACTAATTGTTCATTTTTTTCTCTACAACAAATTCCTTTGATGCTTTTACAATCTCTTTAACTTTCTCTCCACCTTTTACTCATTCCATCTCAACGTGCTAGTAAATTATTTTGAGAAATGGTAACTCATGAAACACTTGGAAAACTGTCAAAGGATGTGACAGTATTGTATCTAAATTACATAGGTGTCTACTTACTTAATAAAGATAGTATCATAGAGTTACACACACACACACACACACACACACACAAAAAAAAAAAAAAAAAAAAAAAAAAAAAAAAAAAAAAAACGAACAAAAGCTATCAATCTTGCCAGGCTGCCTGGGGGACAATGAACACAATCAAAGTGCAATGCAACAAATGAGTTCTGTCAAGTCACTATTGCCAAGAGGTTTTTCTGCTCAACAGTGTAACAAGTTAAGCAAGCTGCCTACCACATAATAAATTGGAGACCAGGCTGGCCAAAAGAAAAATTGAAAATAAAGAATAGGAAATGTATTTAAATGCTCCAAATATATCATCATCCATAGAACACAAGTAACTACATTCAGGAGAAAATGTATAGTCAATCTAGTTTTTACAAGAACTATTTTGATTGCTTACACTATTTGCTTCCGGAATCTGCCACCTTCATTTTGTTAGGCCACTGTTTTGATTAATTTTACGTGCATTACTCCTATTATATGTCACATCATGCAAATAAAGAGGCAAAAATAAATCAGATCTAAATAATAATGGCCAGTAGATTCTGATGATATGCTTCAGTATTCTCCACTTAGTGGCTTTACTAGCTACTCCTTTCTCCTCAAGACTGATTATCTTGTCTACTACTCAATCTATTTGACATCAGATTCTAGAAATGAGCCTTCCTAGCAACAAAGGAAAATTAGTATGTGGCCTCTCCATTGGTAGAAGGTCAACAAGGGGAACTATGAACAAGTTTCTGGAAAGAGCCATAGGGAACCTTAAACCGTTTATAAAGCCAATTATCTGATTAAAGCCCTTCAATGTTTGTGGAGAGGCTGGGATGTTACAGGTCCAGGGTCTAATAACAAGGGCCATCTTTAGCCCACTTAACAGCCTTTTGTTATCCACCTCTCCATGTGACCTAACCATTTTTGTGATTACATAAATCCTTTGGAATAGATGAGCTGATAGCTTCCACCAACTGAAATGTTAAGAATGCTGTGAAATAGCATCTGAGATCTACAGCTAAGATTTCCCTATCTTGTTTCGAGCTGCTTACCTCAGGTTCCCACCAATGCATTTGGAAAATATCTTGATTTATTACTTTTGCTGTTGTTATATAGCACTTTCATAAAACTGCTACCATATTGGAACAAAAAACTGGGGTAACCCAAACCTCATTCATACTTGCCTTTAGAATAAACTATCTCTTATTCCCTTCTGAAAAAAATATTGGACTGCTAATAATAACTTCTTCCTTATTGGTTCCGCTAACCTAGACTTCTGCTCTTATTATACACACCTTTGTACTCTAACCGGCCATCATTCTCTTCCAGTGCTCTGCAGGGCTATATCCATCCCACCAGAAATGCGTGGTTTTACTTCTTAGATCCTTATTCATGATAACTGCAGAAGTCTAGGAACGTGAGAGTGCCATCCAAACCAAGGCATGGAGCACAGAGCTGAGCAAACTGACTCCCAACTAATCTTAAAATGCTCCCCAAAGCTCATGATTTGTTTTAGTCACTGTAAAACTGATGGCCTCTAGATACCCATCTTTATTTTCTGCCCTTTCCTTCCCTTTGTAAGAGCAAAACCAACCAACCAAACAAACAAAAACCAGAATTTCAAATATCCCTCAGCTCTACACAGCTGAAGGTGCCCTTGAACTTTTCATCCTCCTGCATCCGATTCCCCAAATACTGGGATTAGAGTTGAGCAACATCAAGACTGGTTTACATCCTACCCCACCCCACCCCCTTTTTTGTTTTCTTTTGCTTTTTTCCAGATAGGGTTTCTCTGTGTAGCTTTGGAGCCTGTCCTGGAAGTACCTCTTGTAGACCAGGCTGGTCTTGAACTCAGAGAACCTGCCTCTGCCTCCCAAGTGCTAGGATTAAAGGAGTCCATCACCACCGCCCTGCTACAATTCCCTTTCTTGAAGGAGTTACTAGAAAAAAGACCCAAAAAAGAAAAAAAAAAAAACTTTACAGTTGTCAATCAACATCCCCCACCACCACCACCACACACACTCTAGACTCCTTCAAGGACCAAGAAATACACTTTACTAGAAAGCAAAGTTTTTTTGTCCCTCAGTTCGTGTAGGTTAGATCCCTTGGTAATCACAAATGCTGCTGGCCTAACCGCCTCCACACTGACCAAGAGGTTATGCTTTCCAGTTCCCTGATGATTCAGCTGGGCCTGTCCTCTTAAAAAATCCAAGTTGCATCTGCTCAACTAGGAACAGCCATCCCCCTACTGCTCAAAGTAACTGATTAAAATGTTTCAACCGCTTTAATCCATCTTTGTTATCATCTTCCTAAGACTTAGTCCTTCCTCTGTGACATGATTCCAGCAATGGGGGAAAAGGGTCTCTCCTTCGTTGTCTTCCAAAGTACTTCTTTACAGCCTGTGCCATAAAAAAATGAGGTCTGTACAGATTTTTTAGCTGGGTGTCTTTACAGAGCACATGCCATGTCACAAGTATCTGCTGAATATTTAACTTTTGATAGATGACATAACACTGACCACGGTAACTGTTAATCTTAAAAAGGCTCCGTGTCCTTTACCTTTCTCTCCCTTCCAGGTAAGTAGCTGCACAGAACGGTGAGGATTTAGTTGGTCTCCTTTCCCTAGCCTGAGCCTACACCAAGAACTGTCAACCATAGAAAAAGGCAAGCCCCTCCTCCAGCTCGTGAAATTTTAGGGAGAAAGCTCCCAAAAAGGGGAGTCTGATGGGACCGGGTGGGACTTCGGGGCGGCGGGAACTCTGAGGTGCTAGCAAAGGGCCTGAGTGTGAGCAGGGACTGGGAACCAGGAGCTGAAGCAGGTCAGCGGGCAGGGGGCCCGGAAGCCGGTGTGCGAGCGAGCGGAAGAGGGTCGCGCGTAGCGGAAGGCGAGGCGCCAAGAGCGGAAGAGGGTCTTCGGACAGAGGAAGGGGAAGTCAGCGGCAGGTGCTGTAGAGCTGTGTGCTCTACGGAGAG